AAACCGTCACAGTCGCATAAATTTTACTATTTTAAATTCAATTTCATAGCTTCAGCAGAGAAGAACAGTATTAAACCTGCAACACAAAAGGAAGATGAACGATAGGGAGTAAATTATTAGTATAACCATTGGTTATATCTTGAATTTGATTTATTCTATCGTGCGTTTTGTCATTTGATGCATCTTTTTTTTGGATACGGCGCACCTTGCTTCTTCAGGCATTGAACCAGGTTTGAATCACACACACAAGCGCCACCGTCGCATTTCCCGTAGGCTGAAACACACATTTGACAGCAAACATGATCATCAGTTTAACAGAAGCAGTGTATTACTGTAACATCTGACCGCGCCGTTTAAGCATGCTGATTTGTAGTATTGCACGTGCGGCGAGCATCCCTTGTTTATCAACGCCTCATAACATAGATCATGGTGCTTGCAGCAATTATCGATGCCGTCCATCACTGGTCCGCTGCCTGAATAACCGCACCAGCACCCATATTTGTTGTAATCCAATGCACTGCGATGCAATACGCATTTGAATATGGCCAGTAGATGTGCTACGGATCGTTTCGACCTGTGAAGAGTGGAGTTGTGATGAAGTTCCAACTCGTCTGAAACTGAAAATGGCAAGTCAATGCATTTAAAACATAAAAAATTAATATTGTCTCAAGTTGGACCTCAAAACAACGGAGGTACGTCACAGGTTCAAATTCGAAACCGCTGTTCATTGAGGAAAGCAAGTAAATTTCGAAAAATTTTACATGGTGGGAAGTGTCATATTAACGTAATAGATTCAGTAACCGCTTCACCAGTAAAACACTGTTCGGTGAGCATTTGAATTTGTTCCGGCTATCCAGAACAATATCAAATGGGAAAGTAAGGATTACTGAGAGAATTCCTGACTTTTGCCTTCTACTTCATGGCTAATATTTTGGTACCTATTTGAGCTATTAGATGGTCTGTCTTCAGTTGAATGAAGCACTTTATGTCTGTGATGACGCATGGCTATTTCCGAACCCTCAATTTGAAGAAATGGAAGTAGAGTCCCACCTTCCTGTGAGCTGCTACAATTACTTTCCTTCTGTAACTAAGTCGGAAAGTCATGTAATCGAGTCATTGTTTCTCTGCTAATGAAAGTTTATCGATTGACATGAACTTAATTTTAGTCCTTCACTAGCCTCTTCTTACAGTAGAATTGGTCTGATCAACATTCATAACCTAGCAGAAATTGTAATTTCTCCTGATCACATTTCCCTGTGGCTAAACGTCATCCTAGCTACTTATATACAAGCTATATAACCGGAAAAAGCTACAGAGACAAACGTCGAATATTTTTATTGTAATACTGTACTAATGAGTAAAACGCTATGCTATTTTAATTAATGAAACAACACTACCTTCCTAGATGAAAAATAATGCTCCCGCATAACTAGCATGCAAGCCGTTAACAGCAGAAAATATTAACTTCTCTTAAGAAGTAATAAATGATTTTAATTTTGAATGGCGCATAACCCCTCTAAAATAATATTTCATGGCGCATTTCACAGCCACCTTGCTACCAGCTCGGTAGACGTGGTATTCAAGAAGGCCAAGCTCCATGGCATTTGAGCACCTGCAATGCCAAGTGCCTTGCATCATTAATTTCTCTACAGCCGCCTCGCGAACATTACAGACGATATGTCACGAGCTGGTACATTTTATATACTGCCTCATAACAGTGTATCCGTACTCGAGAGTATGTTAAATAACGCATATCTCCTGTAAGGCCATACGAGTAGAAAATCGTTCGAAATGCATTTGGCACTGCTGATGCTTAAATTCCATGGAACCGAATGGTAAAATACGCCCCCCCTCTCCAGGACGTTACGAGCGATTTAGCTGTGCGATATATCGTGAATTCTTATCTTGAAGGAGTTAGGCGTTAAGCAATATAATCAGCAAACAGATATATTTTACTATTGATGAGGCAATAATTTAATTTAACTGTTTGTTAAAATTAAAAATTATTTTTCATTCGTAAAGTGCTACTAGGTGCGCTATAGAAATCAGTTTACTTACCGGAAGTGTACATGGCATTTATTTTCACCAAGCAGCATATGCATACCAGGGCAAAAAGTATCATCGTCCTTAAGCGAAAAACTATCAGTTTCAATTTTATAAACATAAACATGTAAAATAAAAATTGGATAATAAATTTATTACATCCATTTCATGTAATTAATTTTTTTGCTCGATTATTGGACTGTCTCTTTCCGACGTTCTGTCAGACTGCAAACACTACTATGTAAGGGATCTGCGGAACAAAACGAAAATTGACAATGAACATTCAATTGAAGTTCATAAACGTCTGGTCGTCGACCAGCCTAAAGTTCGGTGCTGTTTTAACAAAGCAGAAAGTCAGCTGGGTGAGGAGTTGTTTAAAAAACAAATCATGCGCTCTACATTGTGCATCTGTTTCAATTACCGCGCTTCCACATCTCCAGTCCTAAATTTGCACCCTTTCCTTTTTTTCCATTTCTTCCCGCCTTCCTTTTCTTCTTCGTTCGTTCTTTTTTCTCTCATTCCTTCCTCCCTCCCTTCCTCCCTTCCTTCCTTCCTTGTTTCCTAACTTCTTATATGGCACACGTCTTCTGACACATATATGAAGAACTACAAGTAATTATGCGTTACAGTACTTCATGCAAGTTGTATAGAACTTAGGATTGGAGATGTGAAACAACTGAATGTTTGCTACGAGTACTTTTAAATTTTCAGGCAGATGTGGGTGAAAATGGTAGAGGGTTGTCATGAAAGAGCAGAGATCACTCATGCGCCATTGAAGATCGTCTACGGATCCCATCTTTAACGCGATATCGACGCAGTTGTGGTCAAGCGCCTTTGTTAGCTAAGGCAAGACGTCTACCAAACTTTTTGTACTCAGTCTAGTTCTTCTTTGTCATGTTGAATCAACGTCAGGATCAGCCGTTCTGTCCATCAGTCATGGCGTTTAGACCAGCATATTCGGTGCTCAACGGATACCTGGATTGTATCTAGCTACGGCACGAAGGAAGGCACGGCTGTTAGATGCGCTTTCAGGTTATGGTTATAGAATCGATGCAAATGCAGGACGGAAGATATTATTCCATTAAAAATTGCATATGCTGATTATAATAATGCTGATACAATGTTCATTTCGTGTTGCCGCTGTATTCGCTCGTATCAAATAAGCGTTATTCGACAATTACATAATCTGACTAAATTTTTTTGGCAGTTGGCAGCGCCCATGCTATTTGCAAAACACTGACAATGGCAGTTTCTATTTAGAGTAGCTATGAAACGAATGTACAAGTTTGCACAAAGTTATTTTTTATGATTTCCGGGTGTTGAATGTCCAAGTGGTCCAGAGGTAAGTGTTTTTTTTTGTTTCCGGATCTATCAAACTCAATGTTTGACTGTATTCTTATTTAAGGAGAACCACGGAGTTTTTATCAAACAGCAAATCGAATGATGAGCGATTTTTGGAAAGCCATTTTGTATACGCTAATTAACGATTACCAGGTCACATCAGTTTTGCTTCCCCTAATTTTTTTCAAGAATCAATTAAATAAGGAAAAGTTTGCATGATTAACTTTCGACATATGGAACATACCACCAGTGCAGTGATATTTTCAGTACTTACTTCATGGTGACGGCAGCACAGCAGCGCAGGGCAGCACGTAAAACGCCTTGTTCGCAAACCCTGTTAACACTGCAGCAAAAACAGATATGTATTTATGTACATTCATGAAAATGGCACTGA